GGTGGAATTCTGGAGGGAATACAACTCCCTGCCACATGGGTCGAGCCAAACATTGAGTGTGGGAGTCCCACCGACCCCTCATCTTCCCAGCACCGCTGCCCTGCCAGCCTGAAAGGCTCTCTGCTTCTGTCGGAAGAATAAGAACATGAAGACTGTTACACTTACTTGTATAGAATAGTGAGATCTCAGAATCTGTAAGATTCTGCAAAGCAGAGTATTTGAGAACAGTGTCCTCCAAGATGCATTCATTTCTACATGAGAAGCCCTGAATTCCTGTCCCAGCTCCACCACCAGATGATGACTGTCCATATCTTACTGCCCTGGATAGATCTGACCCGAGTAGCTGAGTAACCTTGAACAAAGAACTTGGTGTCTCTGGTCCTGCATGTCCTCAGATGAGCTGTGGGAATACTGTGTGACAGATGTAACATAATGTATGTGAAAGGACCTCCGACTGTCATTTACCGTACAAATCCTGGTAGTGGTGTATTTGTGTGACATCCTGGTTACACTTGAGAACTTAGAGAAAAAACAATCGCATGTTAAGTGAGCTTCCTTCTGGAACAGAAGGGATGAGCAAGCGTTTGCCTTCCTTCCCCCAGCCCCCTCCCTGCCTTTTTTAGGGGGCACTGCTTTTTCCTCCTTTGGTGGAAAATGGTGTCTTTCTTTCTCCCTTGCCAATCAGATGATCCACCTGTTTTTCCCTCTAGTCCACCAGCCCTGTTTGCATGGTTATACTCACTGGGGTAAAAATGAAAAGACCCCCCCCTCAGCGCTGGCCCCACGAGCACCTCCCACGGAGACCCCCACCCCTCTGAGCTGGCCCCTGGGGAGGCTTGGCCCTGAGGACCGCGGTGTTCCCGCAGCACTGGTGGAGGGGACAGGAGTGCCGGGGGGACGCAGCAGAGAGCAGAGGCTGGGCTGGTGCCGGGAGAGGATTACAGGACAGTGCCTCTCAACACTCGATGGCATCTTCTTGGCCCAGTTGAGTTCCGTATCCCATACCTTACATTGTGCCTGTCATAGGACAGGTCATTAGTATTTGTCAAATCAATGGAAAGAGCAAATAAGTAGGAGGGCGTCCCCATCCCAACCTGCACAGCCTTTCTGCTGGTGACAGAACAGTCCCAGGTGACCAGTGGCATCGGGGATTTCATGTTTAAACCATTTGTCTTTTTTTTAATTGAAGTACAGTTAGTTTACAATGTTGTGTCAATTTCTGGTGTACAGCATAATGTTTCAGTCATACAAATATATACATATATTTGTTTTCATATTCCTTTTCATTGTAGGTTACTACAAGATACTGAATATAGTTCCCTGTGCTATACAGTAGAAACTTGTTTATCTGTTTTATATACAGTAGTTAGTATCTACAAATCTCCAACTCCCAATTGATCTCTAACCACCCTGGTAATAACCTTTTTTTTTTTTATGTTTTAGGTCCTCCTGGCCCCAGGGGTCCAAAAGGCGACCGAGGGCAGCAGGGCCCCCCCAGGTCCCACTGGCAACAAGGGACAGAAAGGAGAGAAGGGGGAGCCCGGGCCGCCGGGCCCCGCCGGTGAGAGGGGCCCAGTCGGGCCGGTCGGCCCCCCTGGAGAGCGCGGCGGCAAAGGC